AAAAGTTTTAAAGGAAAGATAATGAATGCCTTCAGTATGAAGATGGTGCATGTGAGGCTCACATGGGAGATGCCTGTGGAAGTGTCCAATTATTTGTCTAAAGCTTGGGAAGAGAGGCTGGGCTACAGGCTGGAGAGTCACCATTGTAAAAAATGGAGCTAATTATGAGAGTGACTGAAATTGCCCAGAGAGAACTATACAAGTGGGAACAGAGGAAAGCTTGAGATACAATCAGTGGAGAAGAAAAGTACAGAGATTAAGGAGGAGTTTCAAGGAGGGAGTTTTACAGTTAATGTTATCAAATCCAATTGAGACATTAAATGAATTAAGAGAAGAAAAATAGGTTGAGCACAGTGGCATTCACCTATAGTCCAGCTTCTCAAGCTGAGGCTTGTCAATAGCCACTTCTACTCCAGGTTGGACAACAGAGCAGGGACCTGTCTCTTAAAAAAGGAAGAAGAAGAAAAGAATAGAAAAACAGCAGTTGGATCTGGTAAATTAGAAGGTGATTGGAAATTTAGAGCAACTTCAGTAGTATTGAGGGGCAGAAGCACGATTACAGTTGGTTAATCAGGGTTCTCCTTTGAGAATCTTAGATGAAAAGGCAAAAAAATAAGAAGAAATTCTAGTTGAGGGACAAATTTTATTTGGTTGGTTTTAGATTGGTGAGATGGGAGCATTCATGTGTACTGGGGGTAGGATGCCACTGGGAGAGAAAAGGATGGTTAACACAGGAACAAAAGGTCAAGAGCAAAGTCATTCCCTAGTGAGATGGAAAGGGGTGGGGGTCAGATGCCATGTGGAGGGCCTGGCCTTGAAGAAGTAGGCTATGTCAGAGTCAATGAGAGGCTTGCAGACCACACGTACCTCCGTTTTCCTCCTCACTGAAGAATCTTTCTTTGCAAGATGCTCGATAAGCCTCATTCTCTCTCTTAGAGCAGAGACCCTGGGAACTGTGTGAGTCACTAAATAATGTATCAAACACTTCAAAACCAATCTGATTGCCACACTGACCAAGCTGCACCGTCACTATTGACATGCTGAGCCACAATGTAGGACTATTTCCTCAAAAAAGTGAAGAACCTGTAATAGACAAAATATAGGCTTTGAGAACCACTACATTACTCACAGGAACAAATAAAATGCTATGTATATTAATTATACATCAATAAAAATTTTAGAATGCCTCATATATAACGTTGTAAAGGAAACAGCTATATTGTCTACAGAGCCAGTTATTCAAGTTTTTCTCTTGGTCTGTATGGTTTAGGATTTGTGACTGCCTGTATACAAACCCATTCATACACGCCTCAAGTTTCCAAAATATGATTTGTACTCACTATTTCCCTAACCATGCATTTAAAACAAAACAAAATGAATGCTGGTTTAAGCAATCAGTAGTACCATTTTCACACAAGGACACACAGAACGCAGACGTCAATGCAACACTCGTACATCAAATTAACAGTAATTTTCTCTCTTCTAAATAATGGCTCTCTCTATTAACCACCTCTCTAGCCTGCAAACTTTACAAGACATAAGACAGACTCTGTTTACCTCGGGTACAACAGAAAGCGAGATGGTAGTTGGAAAAAGACCAGAACAAGTCTTCATTATTTTTAACAACGAAAAAGGACAATTTTTGATAAAGGCCTCAAATCAGCTCTATGCAGCTCTGGAAACAAGCAGTGGCTTCTGAGCCAGATAATGTACGTATACCCGCAAAGTAGGTATTATTATACTCACCATACAGATAAACTAAGGCTCTGAAAGGTTATGTGACTTCTGCAAGGCCACCGAACTAGCAAACGGTAAAGCCAAGACTCTTCCTTTCTCCATCAGCCCTAGGAACTCCCCTTAAGCCCCAGAAGTTCTCCATTAACCCGGTTCACCGACAGCCTCCGACTAGCCGCTTCTGCCGCTTTCAAACTTCCAAAGACCCGCCTTCTCAATATGCGCATGCTCACTTTCAAAACTAAAAAAAAAAAAAAAAGCTGAGAACGAATGCGCATGTCCCACAAACGAGGCGTTCTGTTGTATATATATTTTTCCCCTATTCCAAAAGTTAATTACGCATGTTCAATTTCAATCTATCAACTTCAGATATGGTACGCATGCTCACTATCTAGCAAACGCTTTTATCTGACGATGCGCATATTTTAGACTCCACGAGTGGCTTCGGCTGGTGTTTTGCGCAGGTTTCTGCCAGTACTTGCCCCCACCCCGCCCCCGGCAATAGTTCTACGCATGTCCATTGCCCACGCCTTGGCTTCATAGAACCCTGTGCGCATGCTCTTTCGCTGAACTTGAGGAGCCAGTCTAGGGCCTAGGCGCAGACGCACTGAGCCTAAGCAGCCGGTGATGGCGGCATTGGCGGCTGTGGTTGCAGCGGGTCCGGGCCCATGAGGCGACGACGGAGGCGGGACGGCTTTTACCCAGCGCCGGACTTCCGAGACAGGGAAGCTGAGGATATGGCAGGAGTGTTTGACATAGACCTGGACCAGCCAGAGGACGCGGGCTCTGAAGATGAGCTGGAGGAGGGGGTGAGGCCCGGGGTCTCTGGGCGGCAGGGGGTGCCGAGGTGACAGGGCCGGGGCGGTGGTGCTGGCGCAAGAACCGCGGCGTGTTCTGGAGGATAGAGTCTCGGCGGGGAGGGGGTCTTGGAGGAGCTGAGGAGCCTAGCTGCCAGAGGCAGGGGAGCGGGCGGGGCGGACACGGCCCTAGGTGTAAGGCCTCTGCGGGACTTGCAGGTGCAGGTCGCGCCCTTAGCCCCGGGTCAGCGCAGCCGCGAGCAATCTGAAGAGGTAATAGAAAGCGCGCGTGGTGGATTCCTCGAGCTGGTGGACCTGAGTGCGGCGGGGTGCGGGTGGTGTGAACATGTGTTGGGGGGAGGAGGGCTGCGCTTGCTGGACATCCCAAAAGTGCAGGTGAAGCGCGGAAGGGTTTCCCTTTGCTTGTAAGATTTCAAGTATTAAATCTTCAGACTTCCCACACCTACCTCTCTCCTCGGCTTGTCGCTCTCTCCTAGGAAGCGCTCAGCTGTTAGAAGTGACAGCTGAAAACTTCTGTCGGGAGTAGCACTGCCGCTGCTCCTACAGCCACCGGGAGTTTTATTTCGGGAGCAAGGGGGCTCTGCTGCGTCTTCCAGGGTTTGTTTGCCTTTTTTTTTTTTTAACCCCTTTCCGTGTGACTTTTTAAAATAGCATTTATGAGGACATATGGCGTTTGTAACTTTTCCCCAAGTTGAAACTGTCTGTATTTTTTCAGAATAATTTATGTAATTTAGGGGTGGAAAAAACCAGTGTTGACAGCTGTGATTTGGTTTGCCAAAAATAAATTGCTTGAACAGAGATTTGTGAATGGTGGTGTGAGGGCTTTCCTTGCTGTAATTTAGGGTGCTAAATTTAGATTTGTTTTTCCTAATGCACAGCTTGATTTTACCTTTGCTGTCTTAATGGTTTGTTATTCTTTGTGAAATATCATTCTTTTTTCAAGATAAATTAAAGAATCACAAATTGCCCGAATTTCAAAAATGGTTTTGCCCTACCAAAGCACTGAGTCTGGACAAAAGGTTATCTATCAGTGACAACCGCATGGTAATGTGGGTTCTAAATTCCATTGTGTCTGTCTGTACCTGGGTTAATGACTGATGTTTGATGTTTGCTCTCTTGCACAGGGGACTTCCCTTTCTTGGCCTCAGCCTCAGTTTTTCTCCTCTAGCATGTGCCCTAATGTTGACAAAAGATTGAGATTGCTATGTATAAAGAACTTTGAACACTTTAAGAAACTAAATGGGCTGGAATAATACTATCGTTTCATAATGAAATTAGACTAAATCAAAATCACATGGTTTAGAAGATGGTTATTGAGTTGGGTGCTTTTTCAACTGATTATTTCATACGGAATTCCATTTAGCTTCTTAACTGAATATAGTGATAACACTACAATTTAAAACAAATGCTACTTTCATTGCATTATACCGCACTCTCATCAGTTATGTTGATTCCATGTGGCAGTGGTTTTGAAGCAAGGCAGAGGAGAAAACTGGATAGAAGGGTGTTTTTTTGCCTACCTTCATTAGTCGAACTGAGAATTTCTACATCATGAGTTTATGCTTTTTTTTTCTTTTTGATACATAGTCTTATTTTGTCGCCCTGGGTAGAGTGCCGTGGCATCATAGCCCATAACAACCTCAAACTCCTGGGCTTAAGTGATTCTCTTGCCTCAGCCTCCTCAGTAGCTGGGACTACAGGCACCTGCCACTACGCCCGGCTAGGTTTATTCTTCTTTGAAAGTACAATACCACATACTGTATTAAGATTCCTGTTAAGAACAGAGACCTTGTTTTTCTTTTCCCTTTCGTTTGTATTTTAGGAACAGTAGGTGTTCCAGGCCTTTTGTTTCACTGGGTACAAGCAAGTCAGATTTTGAAAGAGTATGAGGAGGAGGCCAGAAAAATTGGTAGAAATTGGAAAGAGAAAGAAATGTAGCCAAGACCCTGGGGAGAGGAACTTTGGGGGAAGCGCAACTTTGGGGAAAGAGCAGAGGTAATTAAGGAGGATTTTGAAGAAGAGCCTTCAGTAACATATATCTTACTTAGCAATACTTTTTGGAGTTGTAAATGTTTCTTTTGACTGTGTTTCATTTGACAGTCAAATGTTTCTTTTGACTGTGTTATTCAAGGTATACAAGGGAAGAATTGGCATGAGATTGGATTGGCAACCCAGGGAAGTTCAGTGATATCCAAATTAAATACTCTAAAATAAAAAAATTTAAAAGTAATTCTGAAAAAGGAGAGAAGTTTAGATTCTTAGAAAATCTTACAGTAGTTTCTTTTTTTTTTGAGACAGAGCCTCAAGCTATCCTCCTGGGTAGAGTGCTATGGCATCACAGCTCACAGCAACCTCCAACCCCTGGGCTCAAGCGAGTCTCCTGCGTCAGCCTCCCAAGTAGCTGGCACCACAGGCACCCGCCAGAACACCTGGCTATTTTATGGTTGCAGCTGTCATTGTTGTTTGGCAGGCCTGGGCTGGATTCGAACCCGCCACCTTAGGTGTATGTGGCTGGCACCTTAGGCACTTGAGCCACAGGCGCCAAGCCTAACCTTTAGTTGTTTGTACAAACTTGTTTTTAACATTGGTGAATATCAGAGTAGCCTCACTTCATTTTATAGTAAGGAAACTGAGATATGGAGGGTAGCTCAGGATCACATAGTGGTAGTTTCTTCTGACTCAATTCAGCAAGCTTCATTGC